TCACTGAATCCGGAGCGCTCCCATCCAATTCACGGATATCCTGATTCGGTGCTAGAATGGAAGAAATTTCATGGTCTGATATCCAGCTAGATAGGTGAATACGTGCCGAATAACCGATAAGGATAGTTTGTCCTATCACATAAGCAAAACAGCGGGTGGGCAAGGGGCACAACTGCATGAATGGAAAGCTTAACTGAATTCGCCCAAAAAGCAGTACACAACTGGATTAGATAAGTAGGAACGTGTCTAACCAGTGCTTTTCTACAGACATTCACAGGAAGGGGGTAGAAGCAAGTTCCAGTGAATTTCTGCACAAACAAACCAAGCAGGTGGTATTCTGTGCCTAGTCAACTCCCTTGCTACATCATTTATGCCTAAACAATGAGAGAGAGAAACTTGGGACCATTCATTAGGCTTTCAGTCAACAGACATCGCCATCATCTAACTGAGGAAATTGATCGAAATCAAGTGCTGCTTTCATTTTTTTCTTTCGGGCATACGCGAACATGGAGTACTGATCACAGTTTAATTGAATACAGCCACAATTGCCACCGGTTCCCTCTGAACTCAGTGCAGCTATGAAGCAGTGCATACTGGTTATAATCAACACAGTGTAATGGGGCTGAACAATAACCTACAAGGACTGTTTGACACCTAGGTTATGCGCTTTAAAGATGGATTATAACTCCGAACGGGGAAAACATATCCTGACTAAAAGCGAATTCTGTCACGCCATATTACCATTTCCTAACGATGATCGTCCAAGAACAACAACTTTGACAAATATCGCATCCAAACAATCGTAAAGTCTAATTTCTGGAACGACTCGTGAGTAAATCAAACATTAAACCGGATAAGAAGCGGACTCGCTTATACGTTTCAAATCTGTCTTCACCCAAGTAGTGGAAGGATGAGCCAAAGCTTCCGTATGGTCGGGGGTGAGTGTCTAGGGTTGCGGATGGTCATCCTCCCCTTACACCGTGAAATGCTCCTATATGACCAAGCGTCTCAAATAGCCTCTGCTGAGGAAGTCCTACTCATTGTCTTCCAGCGGCGGAGGTATTTTCGCACCAAAGTGAGAGGAAGAAAAGTCGAAATCCGGGGATATAACCGGGTTCGTGGACCACTGGTAGTTCACTTGGGGGAGTTGGTCAAAAACCCTGATTTTCAATCAACAATGAGGAGGCGTACGAGCCACACACCTTTCCGGTTGTGGCAGTTGTGGTCATCGGCTCGATGGAGCACCTTGGACGTTTGCCCCCGTCAAAAGGGCGAATGATCCGATTAACTGGGCACCGGCCCCCAATGGATTGTGGTTTTCGCGCACCACCCCGCTACCTTGCGGATCAGGCTTTGGTTAGCTGGTTGTGGATTCCTCATTAAATTCACATGCCTTGGCTTGGACAACCTGACAGTATTCCACCCACATGCCAATCGTGGAACGTCTTTCTTTTTTATAAAGCTTATTGTAGCAGGATTTGTTTTGGCACACAATCTGGCGTCAGACATGTGTGGAAATATATAATATATGACATCTTTTAAGTATATTTAATGGTTTATGAAAGAAAAACATGGCATAAACGAACAAAATAGAGAAAAACTTCCGATCCCTTGACAGTTTTGATGCACCGAATAATAAGTAAATGACTGTACAGATCTCAAAAAGCAGCATAGATTTGATGGCCACCACTTAATCTCAGCTATGAAAAGCAAGAAAAAACCATGCTACCGAAGGATGGGACCAATCGAATGCGAGCGGTATTGCAGAGTAGGAAAAAACATCTCATCTCGTTTTTAGAAAAAAAAAGAAATCGAACAAATCAATGGATACCGACCCTGATAAGAGATTATAGAGAACACTGATGCAAAACAGCGGGGCGCACGGATGCGTGAGAGAAACAGATAAATGTTCTATTGATGAACAACACCGGTGGGTGAAGAGAGGCGTCCCCTGTGAATAAAGGAAAAAACAATGGCAAAAAATCTCAAAGGACCTGATCGTGAAACTGACGATTCGCAAATCGATTCACAAGAGAATATCTTCAATCCTGCACATCCGGATGAATGACGACCGTGACTGGAAGGCACAACTTGCATCCAGTGAGGGGGGGGGCATTTACTCTTGTGTCCGTCGTGCACGAGTATACAAGGTTACCGAAGCCAAATAGTCGCAACTAGGGATTACCTGTAGCAATGGAAAGTGGTGCACGGAGACAATAACATTGTAAATGATCGAAATATACGATTGTGGTTCAAGAAACGAAAGAATTTGACGTTTAATAACTATTAGAAAGAGGGAGAAAAAACAAATACCGATCGATGAAATATTAAGTCACGAAACGAGCACGCCGGACTGAGGATGATCAACAAAAGCTCTCCCGCTCCTCTCTTTCTTACTGGATAAACAAATTTCACACACCGCTCAAGTTTGCCCAATATGGCTACTATCAATCTGTGGTAGGTGAAACGAAGGAAGTGCTACAAGTGGGACAAAATGGACGAATTGAACACTAGACAAATCAGGTAGCCCGGGAATTCGCGTGTAAAACAAACAAACCAGAAAATTTTCTACAACCATTCAACATCATCAAAAAAAGAAGGATATCCGCGTTTAGCTACTACAAACAGTTTGAGTAACACATTGATAAAATGAGAAAAAGGCCACGTGCACATACTTCAAATATAAGATCCTGGTACCCATAGGCGAGTGTTGATCCAAACGGATTCTTTCCGGGTTTCAATACGCGGTGGACGACAACTGGGTCGACCTTCAAAAGGGTATCATTATGTTTCTGAATGGTAGACCACTGCAAATCGGACAGGGGTGTGGACATAGTGGGAGAATAAGTGCGAAGTTTGTCAAAAAAGGATTATATTGGAAACTTCAAAATGGGCCACGCATTATGACAAACGTAAGATGAGAATTTGGCGATCCGGTGGACATTCAGGCGAAAGAGTGATTCGACCACATTACTACAGCTCCATTACAGATAATGGAATGAAAAAGTGGAAAAATCCAAAAAGCTAAAAATAATCATGCGTTAACAAGTGAGCAGAGGTTTTGAATGATCTCAAATTAGAGAAAAAATAGTCTGACGTGCGCTATGAATTGGGCATCGGAACTGCTGCTTCTCTTGTTCCAGAAGTTCAGCAACTGTGTGCGAAAGAGCTGATTACTCGGTGAGTTTCATCGATTCCAATTTGAATTGTCCACCCGATTAGGTTAAACGAACAATCCAACAGATAAGATAAACCTCGGTTACGGTTCAACGGTGATGCAGTCATATAGATCGGACCTATTTAATAAATTAATCTAACCACAGCCAAAGTGTGTTTTAGAGATCTTTTATCATTGTCCGGACAGGGACATGATCGAGCAATGCGCCAGAACGAGACATGCATTTTTGGAGCGACGAACGTTGTTCCCCAGCCCCCCC